ACCGCACAGAGGCGGAAGTGCAGCGAATCCAGCAGTCCTCCAACTTGACCAGAAAGCAATGGACAGCAGTACAAGCGAAGACGCTCAAAAGCACCATGTCAGAGACCAGGTACAGAGAGCTACTGGCCAAGCGGGTTGAAGCTGGGCTCACCTACAAAAGTGAAGACTTTCCAGACGACGAGGAGGAGACAAACTCGACCTTCTAAATTCTCAATGTGTGATTGCGTCACTGTAAAGTATCCTGAAGCTAACCCATGCCATGGCCATCAGATATTGTGTATCCAGTTGTAGAGTTCAAACAAATGTTAGACCGGAAAACTTGTCAGGAGATGTGGGTCTACATGCCCGAAGGCCGCATGATCCGCCAGGATGATTTGACCCAGGAGACCCTGGCCGCAAAGGCTACAAAGGAATGTGACACTGCCATGTAACCTATGGTTTTTGATTCTGGTAGTTTGGTTTTTGATTCTGGTAGTTTGGATTTTGGTCTTTGTTTTGCAGCATGAGCTGCATAACAGTGATGATGACTAGTTAACTAGGCACCAAGGTTTCAATAAACCATCCCCAAGAAACAATATGAAACCTGGGACCCCAGTGATTTGGAAGGTGCACCTTCTAGATTGAAAAGCTGTACCTCTCTGGATCTATCTTGGTGGTTCCTGTCTATGCATTGCTGACTTAGCACTGGTCATCTCTTGATCTCTTGATGAATATTTGTGAATTGCATCTTATGCACTTTCGATCAAGAGATGACCAGTGCTAAGTCAGCAATGCACAGACAGGAACCACCAAGATAAATCCAGACAGGTGCAGCTTTTCAATCTAGAAGGCACCCCTTCCAAATCACATGTTACCGACAGTGGGCAGCCAGCAGCGGCCAGCAGCCGCCACAGCTGGTCCACCCACTTTGCTGTGCAGGGGGCCTCAGCCAAGCAATGGCAATGGAGACAGGAGGTGTTGGAACTAACAACTAGGATCAACTTCAGTGCACTACTGCAAAAATATATAATTCCTTGCGAGTCGTGAGACAGTTGTGAGCAGCATTTTACTTTTCTGGAATGCGGGGCGCAGAGTCTTCTGAATTCAGTATTCTGAACATGTTAGCCTTGCAGGCATCTTTTTCAACAAATCAGAGGCCATATCAAGCCTTTTGGCTCTGGACTCTGGACTCTGCACTTTGGTCTCCGCTGTTCTGAAGGAAGTTCTCCTTTAGCTCCCTGCTTCCAAGTCAGTTGCCCTGGACTCTGTGGATTGAAAGGAATCAGAGTCGGCCTCGTCATCTTCTTCTGGTAGGGGGAAATACCGGTCACAGCACCAGGGCCAAAAGATGCTCCCCAGCCAGTGAAAGAACCTGAGCACCTCAATGTACACCAGGCAAAGCACCCAGAATCTGAGAGGACAGAAAGGCCATGGCATGGTCCTCCACTCTGGTATCTGGTCTCTAGTGTCTGGCTCCTGTAAAGGTACCAAAGACTTTGACTTGGGCCAAGACTTTAATGGCAGTCCCACTCTTCATTGGCTAAAGACCTACAAATTTGATCCAAATCATCCACAAGCATTAGACATAGAACACACCAAAACTAGAAAACGTCAAAAACTGACAAAAACATTCAACTATCGGATTCTGAGGCCTTTGCCTGGAGTTGGCTGGGGCTCCTCAGAGAGTGTGGAAGACAGGGAAGACATTCTGGACCATGCGTTGCATTTGTGTGTGCTCACTCAATCTACTTGCCTAACGCATAATACACAGAACATGCCCAAAACATGATTTATCGGTGGCAACTTTCTGTTGAGGCCATGGCTGATGCTGAGCCCAGAGTGCAGAGGTCAGGGTGTCCGGGAACCTGCTGTTAAAGTTGTCGGTTTTAGACGGTGCAAATGCAAAGTCTTTGGAAATAAGTGTTGTTATACAGGAGTATTTCTAAGTACTGTTAAGCTTGGAGGGGGGGCAGGACTGACCTTTAAATGAGCTTGTGCCACATGTAGTTGATCATCCTTGTTTTGAATCTTTCTTGCTGGTTGAATCACTTTGTTGTTCTATATACATTGCATGCTCAAACATTCAGATCAAATATATGCGGCGCAAGCTCATTGTATTTACCCTGTACTGGCACGTTTGTTGCTCAATCCATGAGAATTGAAACACGCCGCAGCTTTTCAGAGGTCGGATTTCAGAGCCCAGTCAGAGCCCAGAGTCCCAGCCTGGACTCCAGTTGTGTTGCAGTCATGGGCAACACATTGGGCAAAGTGAACTTGGTAATTGAGAAGGGCACGAGCGTGGAATGCTATCAGTCCGACACAGTCCTGCTGGCAATGAAGATGGAGGAGGATGAGGGGTGGGTTTCTGTCAGTGCAATTCAGGGCTCATCCTGCAAGCCAGAGAGCCTCAACTTGCCATTCTGGGAGAGTGCCTTGCTTGGACAAAGAAACTTTCATTTTTAAACGGGCCACAGATGGCAAACAAACTTCACCTTGAACTCTAAAATTGAATGTTTCATGTTGGAATTCACTGCCATGCGACCTGCCCCAGGTGCCACTGAATGGGCTATTTGTGGGCCAGACAGTGTTTGCCTGGACTGTGCTACAGCGGAGAAGGATGATGGTTGCAGCAAGGCGCTGCGAATTTCATTCCAGCATGGGTTGGTTCTCAAGCTGGAGCCTGTGCAACAGCAGCAGCCGGAAGCTTCTAGCACCCCGACTGTCCAGGGCACTGAGGGCACCGCCCAAGGCGGAGGTCAGAGCCCAGAGGTCGGAGCACAGAGTCCAAAAGAGCCGCTCAATGAGGAGCCAGGGCAGCAAGAAGTTGCCGGGCGTCGCCTGCAGGTGATGAGGGCTGGTGCAATGAGGGCTTCAGGTCTTGTAGGATCTGGACCGATCCTGGATTCAACAGGCTCTGGCATGGACATCTCAACAATGAGTGTGTCCGAGGTTGAGAGGCACTTGAAGACCGGCGAGGATTTGCCTGGCTGGAATGGACGCGGGCACCCTCAGAAGGATTTGGGCTACATCAAGATCTTCTTCAACGCCACCACCATGCAGTACCACCCTGAGACACTGTGGCCCAAGCTTCAATCATTGGACCCAGAGACGGCTAGGGGTGTGAAGATGCTGGATGAACAGCTGGTTCTGATGCGCAAGCATGGAGATTTTGAGAAGTTGAGTGAAGAGTCTGCCTACGACCTGGCAGTCATCCAGTGCTGGGTGAAACATTTGCAGCAGGGAGTGGTCCCACATGGTCCTTTGCTGGGGTGGGCAAAGCTCAAGGGCCACGAGCTGTACTATCACCTCTTCAACCCGGACGAGCCACCATTCCTCATGGCACGCATCCCCAACACTCCATACTCCCAGCAACTTGAACTTGAATGAAGTGTATTTGTTGTTCTTAAATGCAAGTAAACACTATCAAGGTCAAGGTAAAACAAATAGTTGGAGAATCCGACCCCCAGGTATCAACCCACAAAATCTGCCCTGAACTCAGGTATCCTTTCTTGGAGCATGCCAGTGACATCATCCAGGGGGTGAAGGACCTGCTAATGCAAAGTGGCCTGTGGCGAGCGCCCACCCTCCGGATTCCTGCTGGAATGGTGATGCCATCAATGGCAGTGGATTCAATGAACCGGCGGGTGCTCGAAAGCCTCTTCCCAGAGGGCATCACACCGTTGCCACATGGAATCCAGTTGCGGTGTCAGGATGAGGCAGTGCAAGGGCACAGCCCATTCAAGATCATCTCAGGCGCACCGCCTGCTGGAATTGACTCACTCTTCTTTGATGATGCCCCTGGCCGCTCCTGGTATCTGCAGGCAAAGTGTCATTGGGCATATTGCATGTGACTTGGATTTCTTGTGGCTGTTTTTGTTTTGTGTGTTGGGCATTCAACGCTGCTAGTTGTTTGCACTGATATTAAATTTTTGGAAGTCCCAGGACACGAAGGCCTGGGCATCACAACGTTGCATTGGATTGGATCCGACGAGCTGATGTTCCAGGACTCAAACACTTCCAGGTCATGGGTGTGTTTCCTGCAGATGGGCCGGATTTGAATGGGATTGGCAAGATGCGGTACCATCAGGGCCTCTACATGGAGGAAGGTGGAACGCTGAAGTGCCTGTGGCTGGAACTTCTTGACATGAAGCAGCACCCTCAAAGCCGTGGAGCCCATGCCGTCTATACAGGGCTCTTTGCGTGCCTGAAGGTGAGCAAGGAGATGAGTGATTCAGCGCACGGTGGCAAGGCTGCTGGCCAGGGGTTTGAACCACGACGTGGGAAACCTGGGTACATTGTCCAAGGCGCCCGCCCATTCCATTTGAGCAAGCACGGGTGGGTGTGGCAGGAGCCATTCAATGGACCAGTCACATTTTGGTTTGAATCAGCAAACGGAGAGACGCACAGCTTCAAGCAGTGGATGCCAGAGAAGCCGGCGTACTGGTGGAACCCATCCGAGGAGTGCTACATCCTGGCACAGGAGGCCGCCAACACATGGCACTTCCCAACTATGGAGGATTGGGCACCCGCCGTCATTCGTGAGCTGCAGGGGAAGCGTGAGTCCAGCAGCCCTGCTGCCGGCAGCTATTGGGACCAGTGGGGGATGCAGTGAGTGAGCAATGATTTGGCCAGTGGGAGGGTGTCAGTGGTGTGACACAATGCACTTCTTTCACCCACCAGACACCACAATCGCTGGCAAGTCAGTGGCTTTGTCCACTCACAAATTCAGGACTCAGAGTTCAGAGTACAGAGCCCTGATTCCAGAGTTGCAAAGCTGGATTCAGAGTTCAGAGTACAGAGTCCTGATTCCAGAGTTGCAAAGCTTTTTGCTGGCAGCGCTTCTTCCGCAACACGCTGAGGAAAAACGCATATGCATTGATGGTGAATCATCATAGCAACAGTTAATGTGCCATTATGGCAGTCTGTTTTGTTGGAGGTGTTTTTTGTTTCTGGCACCTCTCAACTTCAACATGTGCATTGTTGCACCTTCACTGCATGTGCCCCACTGAAGGTCCATTGGAAGCCGGCGTTGCAGCGCTCAGGAGGACTGCAGGAGGATAAGTTTTGCACCAGGGAAAGT